TTCCGTTGATTTATTCTTCGTTCATTTTTTTCGTTCACAGATCAATTGAAATTTACTAGTGTACTTTGTGCTTTTGTATATGAGAGTGAATTTGATCTTGTTTGGGATAAATAGGGATGACGATTGATCGTAGTGCTTATCACGGTTCATATCGAGCTGAATGCTTAATGTTCTCGATATTCGATTCGTCGGAGGAGCGAATCATTAGCGGATTAATCTCGCAGGAGGAGAGGATAATGCAGGACACGAAACGCGTCACAGGATTCCTGCCAATCGTATAAATCGAAGGTTGAACGGGCCACAAGGCTACATCGGAACGGTGTCCGTCGAATTCTATTTTCTGTCCCCTCGTTCCGAAGGGTTCAAGGAGTTAAGCCGTATTTCAAGTATCGACTATCGAGCTAATATTAAAACGCGTTCGCCGTATTGGCCCTACCGAGTTTAGCCGCGTTATATCAAAATGGATACAGGTCGGGCCGTTTTATTTTCCACGGGTCAGGCCAAAATCGCGGCTCCCGCTCGTCTTTACCGATAAATAGATCGTTCGGCGACTCGCGAATATCTTATTTCCCTGAAATGAACGGGGAATTATCCCACCCACGCCTATCCCCTTTAATTCGCTACAATATATCGCGAGCCGCGATGAAATGGATCACAAAAGATTCGCATGCAAATTCGAGGCTCGACGACGGAGATCTCGAAGTAATTTATAGTAACGACGAGCGCCACTGACACGGTTAAATACAGAAATCTTTCGGCAAATATCACTTTGTGCAGTCTGTAATTTAGATGATTAACAAACTCGGTTAACGGCAAACAAATTAATGCAGGGAAGCAAACATCGCATTGGAAATTGACTTTATACGCTGTTGGTCGATGAGTTCTCTTTTACTCCTCATTTTTCTTTATGGACACCACGAATAATCGAATATCGTTTAGTAATGGTAACTCTCGAACATAACGAAGACCCGATAAAATCTCATTGACGAACAAGTATTTTCGAGTCAAAAGGTTAATCGTCGCGGTCCGTGTATTTCGAGTTCGATTGCAATTTCATTAAGCTCGGTATCGATCTGTTTATGAGATTCGCCGATTCGTCAAACACCGGCGAAGACTTCCGTCCCCGACTGACGTCATCCGATATTACGCGAGCGAGCCCCGACCACCGAGGAACCTCCTAAATTATAAACAATGTCAGCGAACCCCGCAGGACTTCGATCGACTCGAAACCGCAGAAACTTAGCCGGTCGGTCTACGTGACAGCCGGGAATTCAACGTCGAGTGCGTGGAATCGGAACTTGTGCGGCCAGTCTTGTCTCCAAGTTTCGCGTCAGTCTTCGCCGCTAACACCGGCGCATGAATTTCACAGTGGCCGTAATGGAGCTCTCGGAATCACTTACCGGCTGGCTATACCAAACGATTTTTCTCTCGATTGTTTCCCATCGATCTAACCTGTTTACCTAAAACTTCACCCATTCATACGTAACCCTATTCTTTAGCTACCATCGGCTTCCCCTCTTAAATTGCAAATAGAGTTTCGCATTATAATTCCATTGACACAGTTCGGTATCGGTACAAGTTATATTTTAGTAGAGTTCCTCGGGCTCCGAAGTGGATCAAATCGATTCCATGTTATTAATTAATTGAATCGATTAATCTCGATAAGGTGCACGTCCAGAAATCGTGATTGCAAGGGTAGAGCAATAAAGAGAGTTTTTCATTGGAAATCCTGAAATATATTATAATATTCGAATGGCGGCCATTCGGGGGAACAATTCCTTGTCCGTGGTTAACGGAACGTTCCGTCGAGTTAACGTCGCGGATGGGTAAACGTGGCAGGGCTAAATACCCGCGGAAAAATCGGCCAGTCAACAGGTTGGGAGAGAGGTTCGGCAATAATCAAATCCGCGGAGGGTTGATGGAAGGAACTCCGAACACCTCGATGAATAGCTCGTTTGAATGGGAACCGCGGTAACGAGAGAAGAATGGGATTCCGCGCGGTAATTGCAAATAATTGGCACGGGAAAACAATTGAAGGTGTTAACGGACAGCCGGCAAGTTCGAGCATCAGCAGTCCTCCGGAGTGGCAGGGTCTCGCCGCGAGGCTAGACCCCTCGCTTACACAATGGAGGAGGACAGGAAGCCGCGGTCGGGCTGCCGAGTGGTCAGCAGAACTTGATAGTTTCTTAAAACTCGATCTTGGAACCGCCTCGAATCTCACGCTTCTGGAGAGGTCCTCGGTTGCTTGTACGATTCAAGATAACTGCTTCAATATAGACGCGATTTACTAAACGTTAAACTAAACACACCGAAGATAATGATGCCAAGAACAAATACGTTAACTTCTTGATTAAAGAAGACGAGCAAACTTCGCTCTGTTTTACGATGATCTTTCATTTTCTCCGTTTGCTTGCCGAGAGATTTTCGCGTGTAATTGTTGCGATTATTCGAAAGGTCAGTCGCCTTTCGATCATTTTCATATACATATGTAATATATGAATTACAATACAAGATACTTTAACAATGGAGACACTCGTCTACAATTTTCGAAACAACACAAAATAAGAGTTAATCTATATTCCAATAGAAAACTGGCAATCCGTCGCATATAATAAACTACGAACCATTCGTTTCGACTGCCGTTAATTCCGGAATTACTAGCCTGACAATTATAGCCACCCAGCTATCAACTGTCCGACACGACAGCTCGATAATTTATATTTCCAGTATCCGTATTATTGATGTGCGACGCTTACGTCAATGGGAAAGCTAAATAAGCGGCTAATTACTCAACTGTTCGCTCGCGTCCCGCGCGACATGGGGAACGGCGAAGTTTACTAGATTCTTTTTTTTCTCCTCTCTCTCCCTCTCTCTCTCCGAATAGCACGGCCCGAGCGAAACTGTACCGGCGAAACTAGACCAGTGTGTCGTTAAAATAATCCGAAAAATATCTCTGTCTCGTTTCCCGTACACTTATGTGTACGTGTCAGGCGGACGATAAGCGAATCTCTGTTTACACGTAACCAACAGGCGAGCAGATGTACGTGTCGCATGTGTAATTCACGCACGCGTGTTGGTGGCACACGTATTTACACGGTGCGTCACGTGAACTTGATATTCACCGTTACCTATCTGCACGCGCCCGCGCGCGAGCGTACACGTACACACACGCATACACAGGTAACGGGGCGCGCGGTGTGAAAAACGCCGGCACGGAATAAAAATATCCCGTGTGCGGCGGCGCGGACCTAACGCCTCGCCGCCGGGCGATTATTAAAATAATTTATTCCCGCCGCGGAGCGTTATCGATGGACGCTGAATTATCGAGGAATCTCCCACGCGCGTACCCTGGGCAACGAAATTAAGCAAACATGTCCCGCGAAACGCCGCGATACGAACCAGCGAAACTATATTTCTTGATCTACCCGCTGGTCGCGGCCGGCGGGGAGGGGGGAGATATTGGAAATCGACGGAATTCCGATCCGCGAAAAATAGCGGGGATAAATTATTCGATAAATTATTTCGGGAGGTTAATTGTAATATCCGAGACACCTGGAAATGCTGCGAGTGTTATTGATCTGTTTAATATTTCCGTTCGAACGATTTATAGCCGATAATGGAACTGTATATTAGAACAGGGAGCGGGTATTCCATTGAATTTTTTCGTGCCCTCTGTAAATACATTCAATCTCTACTAAATCTTCCAGGGGAATTCAGCTTTTCTACATTGTCTCGATCGGTTTGTCTATCTATAAACGATTCTAATTGGTCGTTGATTTATGTTACAACCACGCTACGAATATCCGCAGAATTTCAAAGTTCGAACGGTTAAAAATGAAATTTACATTACTAGTTCCACTCTGTTCACATACACCGCGAGAGACTACACCAGATTGCGCAATAAACAAGAACAGAGAAAAAAGCGGCCGGAGTACACCGAGCATCTGGAGAGCTCAACGTCAAAGAAGCCTTAAAGCGTCCATAAATAATCCGGCACGGCGCGAGGGTCGCCGAAGAAATTTTTCCGGAGACAATTGTCGCGTTCTCGGAGGTACGGAATGCGTTCCCGGTGGCGGCGTGCAACGTGTCGGGGTTTTCGGCGCTCCGAGCGGGCCGCGTGTGTCACGCATATATGCATTCTAGACGTGGCTGCCTCTCTATACCTGCGCCAGGCGACCGTAACGTCTCCCTCTCCCCCTGTATCCGAAAAGGGAACCGTCGAAAAGGCCGCTTTAAAGGGCCATAAAACATTTGTTTCCCTCGGCGGCGCTCCCGCCGCTATCCCGGGACCCGCCCGGTATATTGCGTTCAGCCGCGAACGCGGGATTTCGAATTGAATTTGAAATCAGGGGGCTCGATTTTATGGCGGCTGGGTGTCAAACGCCTCGGAAGTATCGCGACCCGGGGCCGACTTACCGCGCGGCGAAAGTTTTTCGGTTTGAGATCCGCGACCCCTCAACAAGGATCGCTATCGGTTTACCCGCTCGCCGAGGCTTGTATCGCGGAACTATCCACCCCCAATCGTTTACCTTTTCGATTTCCAACTACGACCGACCTGGGTCTCCATTCTAGATTCGTATCGTTCCGAGATTCTATTGTTTTACGGAGTCGAGAGGATTCCTCGAACGCTCGAGTATTATCAGGTGAACAGATGTTTCACCGCGACATTAATATGATTTGTAGGCGATGTGTAAATTTTATCATTTTATACGAGCTTTTTATGGAACTAGACTCGGTTTTTGTGTATCGTTTGAGTGTTTCTCGGAACAATTACCAAATGTGAACTATAAAATTAAATTTTTTTTATATTTTATGTAGATTTATAGGTCTTGTTAAATTCGGAAAACCCTTACGTTGATTTATTCCCGTCAGAAGTGTTAAAGTTTCAATATGCTGGGTTCGATAGTAATTCCCACGTTCGAATGCTAATGCAAATTCAGCATAATTACATATAAGGGTCGCTGCAATCTTATCGCGATATCGGTATCATAATTCCCTACCTGGTCGTTGTCTTGTTGATCCTGGCCGTACGCGGGGGTGTCACCATTAGGGGTGGTGGCGACGGAGGGTCGCTGCGACGTTGACAAGTTGATCGCGCCGTCTCCGTCCGTGTCATGATCCATTATGCCATCGTCCTGAAATCACGATCATCGTTACGTCAATCGAAGGCCTTTGCTCCGTGGTGCAGTGAACTTCACCGTGAACCAACACGGCAGCTACGTGATCCCGATGCCGCCGCGTTACGTCAATCCGAAATCGTTTCGCCGGTCTCGGAGCGTTCCCCGACCCAACAACCGACAAAATCCACGGCGAAAGAAGAGAAAACGATAACGGCGTTCGCGAAGCCACCGAAAATCCGCGTTCGTTACCCGATATGCGCGTAGGAACAATTTTAGACCACGCCTGGCTCGTTCGGTTCCATGCACTTGAGACGCGGCAGCAACAATGTGTTACTCGTCGCTAATAATATACAGATTTCCCGGAAATAACCTCTCGAGCCCGCGCGCGGATGACGATCACCCGATTCAAACGATGATCGATCATTCGTGGACGCTTACTTCCTCAAAAATCCACTTCCCCGTGTCGTCGCCTGCGAATCATCCACGGCCGGCCTCGAGAAACCGTACGAAACCCTCACAAGAACACTGAAAGTCTCCGGCAAGCGAACGGTCCGCTCGAAAACACTTCTCGCGCCGCAACGAGAGCGAGGCAACGCGTACGACGGCGACGGAATTCGAAAAGTAAACAAGAACCAACGATCGCACTGGTCACCGCAAACTCGCGCGCCCGCGCGCTGCCGCAGGATCCATCGCACCGGAAACCGACGCGGATCTCGGTGGATCGCGGGCACGGAACACTCTTCGGCGAATCGTCTCGCGGGGTTCGTTCAACTTAGCTCCGCTTTCGCGGTGGCCGCGCGGGGTGGAATCGAGTCGCACACACGCACACACACATACACTCGCGGAGTGGTACACGTGGTTCGATACGTCAAACCGCGGGGAGACGCGAGCGACTCGCACAGGGAGAGATCGCGTCGCGTAGGGTTGCACAGGGTTTTTTCAACGGGGCGGTCGTAGAAGCGGAAACACACCGGGCGCGACCGTGCTCCGCAAGGAAGACGAAAAGCGACGCGTTCTCGCGCGGCGACCGAGTAGCGAGGACTAAACACTAAAAGCGGCACAGGCATGCCGAGCGGCCCAACCGGCGAGG